GGTTTGATTATCTACCAGTATATTTAAAGCGCGTACCAGATAACTGTAAACAAAATATACTTTTTCTTATACACCGTTCTTAGCCTATAAAAACTATACGTTTTCTTACAAAACCTGTTTTAGCCTATAAAAAATATACTTTTTCCTTATAAACCTTTTTTGTTCCTATACACAAATAAAAAGAACAGAAACGATCTTTTTGTTATTTTTTGTACAAAAGAAAAACAATGAGTATTGTAATCTACTATAAGGGAGAAAAAGCAGCAAGTGACTTTTAAGAGCTAATTTACACAGCACCTTGATTTATCCTGTACAGATGGATCCATTTACTATTCTAAAAATGGCATTTGAACAGCGTAATCGTACCCTGAGTAATTCCAATGACGATGATGTTGATAGTATAGATCGAAGAAAAGTTGCTCGTTATCGCGAAAAAGTTAATGTAGAATATGATAATCCTTGTTTGACGAGGACTGATGATTCACCTCTACTAATGATGGAAGAAAATTCATGTTCTGAAACCGGCCACGAGGATGTGACCGAAGGAGAAGGGCGAGTGGAGGAGGATGGATGAGTTATTGATGGGGGAAGTGCTGTCGACGCTGATACTGATCTTAATGCAACTGATGACAAAGAACACGATGAACCTGAAGTTTTTCTATATCCATCAGCTCCAATTACGGTATCCGGTGCTTATAAAGAAATAAAATGATTTGTATTGTTGACAAATTTATCTCAAACTCATCGACGATTGCTCGTAAAATTGTTAAACAAATTTTTACCAACAGAAAATAAACTTCATAATAAACGTTTAAATAAATACCTTAATCGATCAGGTGCATTTAAATATGAAACGTATTGTAGTGAAGGTAGGTCACTTAGTGTGAAAGGTGGTATATGTTCTAAGCAATGTCCATTCAGTGGTCTGCTTCGTACACCTGACACTGTTACAGAAATCTGCAATGCCGATGTATCTGAGACAGTAGTTCATGTTGTGAAACGAAATATGCTACTTATTTTAAATTGGCCTCATCAAGTAAAAACTTCTCTCCCATGTGATATCACTAATTCAAAAATATATAAGAGAGATTTCAAGCCTAACGAAAATCATTTAACAATAATGTTACATCAAGATGCTATTCCTGTCTTATCTACGAAACACACATCATTTTATGTAATATCTGGTACACTGTTGGAGATACCGCCACCATTGCGTGACTACGCCAAAAATAAATTATTATTATGTATTGTACACTCATGTAAAGATCCAGATCTCAATATGTTACTTGAAGATTTGGTAAAAACATTAGTAAGTTTAAAAACGAATGGTTTAATGGTTGAATATGAAGGTGATGAGTATCGATTCAATATACGCCTACAATTGAATAAAGCCGATTTGCCCTGTCGGTCGATGCTATGGCAAATATCTGCTCATAACGGATATTTTGCATGTTTAAATTGTACACAGAGAGGACTATTCCCGAAACAAGACGTGTTTATTATCCTTATTCACCGATCGAAGCTCCTCCCCGTACACATGCTGGTTTCGTTGAATGCGCACGTATAGCTGATCGACGTTTATTAGAAACAAAACGGTTATCATCTGTTAATGGTGTTAAAGGCACAAGTCCATTATTACGATTATACAGTAATGTACAAGAGCATGCTGTATATGATTATATGCACCTTTGCTGTAGTGGGCAAATGAAAAATTTGTTGGAATTTTGGATGTCAAGTGGAAGGAATACCGGTCAGAAAATATCAGAATTTATTCTTCAGACAATGGTACCACATGATTGCAAGGTTGAAATGAAAAAGTTTAGCTGACATTACTTTTTGGCATACAAAACATTATCGTTTCTTTTTACTGTATCAGTCCATGCCAGCAGCTGTCTTATTTCTTCCACCTGAAGTTAGTCAACATTTCATTGTTTTTTATTGGCATTCGTTTACTCCATTTCTATGAGGGTGAAGATGAACTAAAAAAAATGTTGTTTTTTCTCAAAAATTTTTAAATGCTTATCGTGCTGAATATTCAGCAATATACGGACAATATAATCAGTTATTTTCATTGCATGCCGTAAAATATTTACCAAACCAAATTGATAACCATTCAGCATTGTTCGCTAGTGGCTGTTTTGCTGATGAATCGTTCCTTGGATGCCTCAAAAAACTTCGAACTAGCACGCGTCGTATTGCATATAATATTTTTTCACAATACTTAATGACGCATTCCATGGATGAAGAAAATAATGAAGCGTTATCAGTTGAAGATATTTTTGTAAAACAAAAATTAGATCAGTCGACACTGATAAATCGAGAAACACTTGCTAAATTTACTCCTCATTTTAAAATGTCGTTTGAACAAAGAACTAATAAAACATTTTCAAATTTACCGGTTTTTGCACGTTATCGCCGTGGTCTAACGCAGTTCCATTCATTAATCTATCAACGCCTAAAAATACGAATAAGTTTTGTTGTATCTATCAAGAACGATAATTGCATGTATACAAAAAAATGTTATGCAAGTGTTATTTTATATTTTGAATACAATAATGTGATGTATGCGTTTGTAAAAATGTTCCGTTGTGGGGATGAAAACTTTAGGACAAATAGAAATGGTGTAATGGGAGATGAAGTTCATGACTTTCTTGATAAGTATTACGATCTGGTTGACCTCACTCAATCATCGTATGAAATTATTAGTGTAAATGAAATAAAAATGTGTAATAATGCTATTCCAACATAAACATCTTATAACGGAAATATTATGTGAAGTAGAACACGATTAATACAATACTAATCGTTCCAGATGCATTCTTCTACTTACAGCCATGGTACAACAAGAACAAATCAACAATTTTATTTACTTGAATTACATAATGGTGAACTATTTATAGCTTCAGCGGTTGAATGTATTATATCACACAGATTTTACGCTTATTAACTATCGACATCATCAAAATCTGAAATTTATAGCAGTCGGTAAAGAAAAACTTAACTTGTGCTTTGTTGCTAGGTAAATAACTATAAGATTGATTTCAGGCACGAAGGCTCAATGTGAAGCAAAACGTAAGGCAATTTTGTGTGAAAAATGGCCACGTAACGTGTCCTGCCCATGGAAAATCTAGCGTGGCCATGGCAAGTTTAGAGCGTGTAAGGTCACCTGGGCAATTACTGATATAAGCCGTCGATTTGTAACTATGAATGATTTCTGATAATGTAGTTCTAATGTCATTTTCTCAACTTTTCGAAATGAACAACCATAAGGAGGAACTTGGTTCAGATTGTTGTCTACTATATTTTGAGTAGGCATCTCTGAACAGGCTTTTTTGAATCCATTTCACATGCTCAGTAGATAAAACAATGTCCGTATGCACATCCATATTCAGCTAATTGAAAAGAAGATACCCGTGCCCATAACAATCTCAGAAACTTTTACCTCATGTTTAACCCGTGAATATAATCATTTTGCTTTATTTATCGGTGTTCATCCTGACAAGCAAAAGTCATTTACGTTATTCGTGCAATTTTTTTACTTAAGGGGGAGGGGTAAATACCCCCGTTTTTTTTATAACTTTGTAGAACGCATCAAACTGTATATAGCCTGAAGTGTTTTCGATGAACAAACTTGTAATTGCTGAGAAAAGGATTTTTTACGAAATTCATACGATTTTGATCCTCTATTTAAAAGATTTATAAAAAATTAAAATTTAAAGCTGGAACTCTTATTGTTACGCAGTGTGACAGAGCACATTAAGTGACATATATCCACAAGTTATAATGAAAATTAAACTAATTGTGTCTGAGAAAATAAACAATTTTCATTCTAGTTTGAGCCCTTACAGTAGTTTGTACGCATTTCAAAAACAACGAAGGATTTTGAAGAAAACTGTTCGCTGGCAGAGTTGTTCAGGATAATCCTCTTCATACCCTAAGCGGAGCACTTTTGTCATTTTGATAGGAAAATTTTGAAATAAATGCAATTTACATAAATTTTAACTTAATTTACAGCTCAAAACCTAAGGAAAGATCGATCCTGGAACTTCGAAAAACTTCGATGCCGCGCCTAAACCACGAAAGATTAAGACATCACTTGATTCCCATTTTGTAGAGGATATTTTAGACTATCATTTTAACACGAGAAACAGGGGCCACTTTGGTAGGAACCACGACCTATTCTTTCAAAGACTAATAAGGTATACCACCTGCAGGTAGTCTTTTCTGAGATATTTTTATGTCATCTAGTAGCTAATTATCTTCTCTATGCAATTGTTCAAAAGTTATTAAAGAAATAGTCAAGTCAACGGCATTCCTTTTTAATAATATATGGGCTTTTAAAAAATGTATGAAAAAATCTCACATCAACAAAAAAACAAAATACAAGATTTTGTAGTGCTTGAGTAGCTGATTCGAATGATATATTATTCGAAAGAGGTTAAAGAAAGAGAAGTTGAAGAAAAAAATAGTGCAAACGACCAGATTCCATGGAACTGGCATCAGTTTTAGAGAAAAATTTATATAAAGTCTATTAGACAAATTTTTTCTTCCTTTTTTACATACATAATAACTATGAATAATTGTGCATCTAAACATACTTGAACCAAATTCCATTACCATTATTCCTGAATGACTTTTAAAATATCGAAAATCAGCCGTTAGACCGCAAAATTTTGACCAAAGGCCAACGTTAAAAAATTCATAATTCCACCAATATTCATAGGATCGCCGAAATGTCTTGAAGATACATGATACTTAACGTACTCTACAAACTGGCATAATTTGAGGCCACTTTTTTTTATGGTTACCCGTCCTTAATAAAGTGGATGAAGTTTCAATAATGCACTCTAGTAACGAGGAGAGATAAGAACAAAGAATTATCCGTACCTATACTCATGAGAATAGCCATCACAAAATATGTCTCGCCTATGACCTTGAATACACATGGGCACCAATATAAGTAATGGGCATGAGCGCAGACTTTTCCTTCCAAAAGTACCAAACAACAAAACTATTGCACTGATCAAAACCAGAAAAACGCTTGCAGCGGCGACAAAATCGAAAGCTTATTTCATTAGCACTCGGACTAAGTCTTTTCTAACTCGTTTTATTTAGCAATCATAACCGTGATCACGGAATGATGAGAAAAGAGGGAGAAAGAGGGAGGTTCTGGAGCAACAAGGAAGATATATTTTGTTACACCCTCGAGCTGATTATATTCTCTTACAGAACTATATATCAGAAGTCATTAAGCATTTGCAACACACATCTTGCGTCGAGTTTTTGGTAGAAGGTGTTCATCTTAAACGTGGAATTGTACGAAAATCGTATGAATTATTTGACTCTTTAGAGTTATTCTCTTTATATAGGCTTTTTACGCGTTCCTTTCTTTTTTCGTCACTCTTTTATGATTCGTCACTATTTTTTATTATAATACTTGTATAACATTTATTTCAATTTCCCCTAAGAGAAAACTCAGATAGTGGTATATTTGTTCTACTGCAGGGGAATTTAAAATTCTCCTATAGGAGAAATTAAAATTTTACTTTGCCCTAGAGGAAATCAAAATAAACGATTTTTCTTAAAAAAACCCTATTTGAATTTGCCCTAGACCCTAGAGATCAAATCTTATAGAATATCTGCAAGAATCTTTTAAGATTTCTATAGAATTGCCGTAAGATCGGTCGACTAGGGGAGGAGCTTAAAATTTCAAGTTCCTCTAGGAGAATTTTAAATTGACCTGAATTTTAACTTCTCCTTTATATAACTTTTTTTGACTGATAAATATCCCTAATGAAAGTACCCATACTATGAGTACAGCTTTACTCATAAGTCGTCCATGAGTCCTCATATCAGTTCTACTAACAATTTTTGAGTATTTTTACTCAGTGGGGTACTCAGAAAATATTCATTCACCGTTTTATTTTGCAAAAATGAAACTGTATAAAGAACGTTATCTCGCTATTCTTTCTGTATATAGTCAGAGATTCAAGCTTGGAGCACTGAATCGTGTCTTTGGATTAGCTTCAACTGAAGTTTGGCGTCGAATCTATCTTTCTTCTATCCTTCCTAAAATTGACTATTGCTGTGCCTTGTATGACAGTTCGTTTTCTCTTACTGTTCTTGATTCTGTAAACAAACTTGCTTCTCGTGTTATTTCTCGCAATTTTAACTACCGTTCTTCTAATTCTCTACTTGTGTCTCAACTTTCTCTTCCAAATCTCTTCGTCATAAATACTTTAGACTTCTACAGTTTTTTAAATTTATCATCATCTAAGTCCTGTTTCTCTTGTTTATACTATTCATCATTCTCACTTCTCATCTTTACGTCTTCATCACTCTAAATATGTTCGCATTCCATCTTCTGCTAATGGTTTTTCTCCGCAAACGGACCATTCTTCTTCTTTTTATTCAACTATTCGACTTGTCCAAGCGTGACGCTGTGACATTTTTGACACAATAATTTAAGCTTTTCTCAAAAAGTGTAAGGATTAGAAACCACTTGGTTCTTGCGTCATTCAACGCAGCTCGCCATACTCTACCTTTGGTATAAAAATGAAGGTATGTGGCTAAAGACTCGAATTTTTAGAACCGTTTCTCGGCGCGTGACGCTGTGGCAAAAAAAGGTCCTAAATTCGAAGTTCTTCTCATTAAAAGCTAATTTGCTGCGAATTTAGAAGAACTAATAAAAAGCGCTTCAAGCAAAGTTTGTAGAGGAGTAAACGAGCTACTGATTACTAAAAAAGAATCCTTCCAATGAGCTTTCCATCCCTCAATAATTGTGTTTTATTGTCATGGCGCTTTGACACACTTTTTTCCCAACAAAGTTTGGAGCACTAAACATTGCTCAAAGGATTTCATTTTCACATCGAACTCATCTAATATAGACTAACGTGAAAATAAAGCTGAAAATATGTTTTCGCTTTCTTAGAATTGTGTGAGAATCTTAAAGCTTAAAACTTTATTAAAAGCGTGTTTTTAGTCTAAACTTTAACAGAAACATACCATCTTGTAGAGAATTGAATTCTCTATCGATTAGTGTGGCCTTCCATTTTTATTAGGAAAAGTGTCTAGGTGAAGAAATTGAAAATACAGTTTTCAAAAAATGTAAAACTGAATTTTTGGTGCCAAAATTTAACTTTTTTAAAAAAATAATGTGAGATTCATAATCAGCACCAAAACCTGCATCTAGTGATATGCTTCTTTCAGTTCTACTCTAAAATAATTTTTTCAAAAACTTGATCAGCGGAGTGTCGAGTTACGTGGACAAGCCGTATTGCTGATTGAAATAATCTCCTAGAGTCGGTTATTCGATTTTCTTCTTTAATGTCTTTTGAAACACCTTTACTTCTATATCTCTTCCAGTGAAACGTTTGTCAGTTAAGAATTTATATTTGTTCTTTTTTGCTTATTTTTTTAACCAGATAAACAATACTGATGAGTATCTTGCCAAAAGGTATATGAGTAGGGAAAGTCGTACCCACAGTACTCATTACTCACTCATTCGTAAAAAAATGTGTGAGTTCAGCAGAGTACGATTTTGAGTACTCAAGCTTTAGTACATTCACTAGGATATTTTTTATTCATATAAAATCTTTCAAAATGCAGTATTATAGCTCCAAATACAATTGCAATGTTCATGTTAGTAATTTACATTATGGAATTGATGTTCATTAATTAAAAGGCATTTTACGTTTTTGGTACATTTATTATAGTTTAATTTAAAAAAATAGAATACACTTAAAGTGTATTCTATTTTTTTAAATTAAAGTATAGACAAATTGTCTCAAATCGTTATACTATACCTTCATAACGTGTCAAAATCCCACAAGGTTAATAATATGATAAATACATGTCCATACACAATTGTAAGTCACCATTTACACATCAGATGAATATTACTGATAGACAATAATACTTCTTTTCTGATGCCAAATTACGTCTCTCCTGACAACTAGAATTACTTACTATTGAGTCATAGTCTATGACAGAAAGATCAGAATGGTGTAAATTGACCAATAAAAAATGTATGTTAAACACACGTCAAGATAAAGTAGAATTAAATGACGATGCTAGAGTGGAGAGGCTCATGTCATTTAATATAACTGTAGGTTAGTGTTAAAGATATAACGGTGGATCGATAAATGTGAATTTCTTTTTCTCGGATAAACTGGAAAGGATAGATTTTTTTGAACTAGACTTCCTAGTCGACCGACCTTACGGCAATTCTATAGAAATTTTAAAAGATTCTTGCAAATATTCTATAAAATTTGATCTCTAGGAGTCGAGCTAGTCTGCGACAGTTATTCTAGTATTTCTAATATTTGTCCGAGTATTAAGCGTATTATAGCAGAAAAGCATGACTGTACAGGGACATGTGACTGCATTTGATTGAATAAAGCGCGCGCAACAGGCACAGTAATCAATCAAATTTTGTCTGTGAAATGCCATTTCTCTTATTAGACTTTGTGTTGCTGGTATTTGGGGCTAAAGGAAAACAACAACAAGTAATGATTGAGTGTATGAAAAAAAGCCTTACTGTAGTCGAACTTTTCCCCATAAAATTCCACACGAGTTGTGAAAAAAAGGAACACAACTCTTGCGAGCCTTCTTTTCTGATAGGAATTCCAAGGGATTTTGACGAGACTTCCGAAAAAAACCTTCCGAGTCTGTTTACGCAAAAACTCCCAAATTTTTTTCAGAAATTCTCTGAACTCTGTCGAAACTGCGCAAGACATATTCAGCTTTTTGTTTTACCCAGACATATAGTATATGAAAACCACTGATTTAATGAAAATATTTTGAGAGTTTTTCGTCACATCTATAAGTTATTTATTACTAAAAGGCAGACTTTAAACAGCCTATACTGGGAACGCACTGTTTCCGATTCGTGATGAGAATCGGTATCGGTTCCACCCGTTGCCAGACGGCTTTCTACCCCGGCTTCTACGACGGCTTTCTCGTGGGGTTGTTGACTAGGGTAGTCGGCGCGACATGTAAAAGAAATAATATGTACAAGTTCTAGAAAATCAGAAGTTTTCAGTTAGAAAATATCAGCCCTAATCTACATCGTTTTTTATCTGTTGTGACTAGGTAAAAGGAAAATTGTTTCTCAAGCTGCATTCTAGATTCGAGCTTCTAAACGCTGAATTCTAAAAGCATTGATTTGAACAAGGGTCATTAGCAACTAACTATTTAGTGACGAAATTAGGCTAGAAGTCGTAATTGCTTTTTTTATCTACAATTTTGCATTTACATTAGAAATATTCCGTCAAGAATCTAAGTAAGATTGAACGAAAGCTAGTAGATTTTTGGTACAAACAAGGAAAAATAATTACTAAGTGATCAAATGAGTATCGTAGGTGCTTAACTTTGATAAACTGTTATATTACATTAGTATGAATGAACTCACCTATGTTGTCAGTCAATTTCATAAAAAATTTTCTACCAACTGTAGGTTATGTGTACGAGTCTGAACTAAAAAAAGAGAATATTTAGTTAATCACTTTGTTGTTCTCAGTAATGTAAACGAACGGCTTTCTTTTTGTGTAATAAACTTCTATTTTCAATTTGCTCAGAACTGAACTTTGTTTATTACAAGACACATGATTAATTTGACCCTACTTTTTTTTCGTTATTTTCTTTCATAATGTTTTTTTTCTTCGTTCTGTTATTCTCTTTTAGATTTGACACTTTTATTGTTATCGTTCTTAATGTAAATAATGATGATGAATACTACTACAACGACGAGTCATTTACCGCTATTTGCTGAATTCAACGATTCCGTGTTTTCTCCTCCCAACACTCCGATTAGCAACAATAATACCAATAGTGTTGTCTCACAACGATCTGTCGAAGATCACCACTTATTTCCTTCTATGAGTGAATTATCTGAATTTGACATGGGACATTTCACCATGAAACTGTTAAATAATGGTAATCGTCTATATTCTATAAAACATGAACACGGTCAGTTAAAAATGTTTACTCAAATGAATGAGTATCGTTTAAGAGATTTATTTACTGATGTCACGTTAAAAATAAATGATCAAAACATTCGCGCACATAAAGTCGTTCTCTCAGCTGGTTCATCTTATTTTGCGTCAATGTTCGATAGTCCTCTAATTGAATCAAAACTCGATGAAATCGATATGACAAAAACGATACCGTGTCCGATGGCATTAAATTGGATTATCGATTTTATATACAATTCATCAATTAGTCTGAATGACAAAAATGTATTACCACTACTCACTTGTTCATTTTGTTTACAATTAGATTCATTATCCAATATGTGTATTTCTTACTTGGCTGATCAACTTCATTCAAGTAATTGTGTAGGAGTGTTATTGTACGCTAAACAATATCAATGTGAACAATTAGAAACAATAGCACAAAATTATGTTTATAATCATTTTGAAGATGTTGTGAGGAATGAAGAGTTTTTAAATTTAACAGCAAGTGATCTCTATAATATGATTAGAGATGATAATGTCAAAGTCAAATGTGAATCAATTATTTATAATGTACGTAAAAGATAATGATAGTAATTCACTAGAAAAGTGAAGTGATTTTGAAACTTTCTATGTTAGCTGGAAATCATGAATTATTGTTGAAAAAGTGAAGCTGTTGAACATTTTTGGCATTTCATTTTGAGATTGAAATTTAGATCTTTCCCTAGTTTTTAGTACAATATACTCGAGGTTTTTTCGCTCTCTCATCCTAAAATCCTAATAAGATGAGAGAGTACTTTTGATTTTTTATACTGCGGAACGGGGCGTCAGACACTATTTAGTGTTTTTATAGACTGCTTTCCATTACAGAACAATGACTATATCAATTTTTGAAGCGATACTTCTTCTGAGTTTATCAGAGATCCGCATGGATCGAAAAGCCCGCTAATGAAAGGTTCTGGACCAAGCCCGGCTCGATCCGACCAAACGCGAAATTTATCTGACCCGGCCCGATCCATCCTGAAACTTCCAAAATACTTTACGGTCTAAGCCCGGGTCGGTCCGATCACTCTCTAAAACTGTCTGGCCTGGTCCATGTTGATCTCTGGAGTTTATATTCAGTAACCATCTACTTCAAATTTGAAATTTCCTCTAAATGGGTGCTTAATTGCTTTAGCATAGTTATCTGACATTATCGTATTTTACTCACGTAATTTCAGCCATTATTGATAAAAACTAGATACTTTGAACAAATGATATGTTTTGTAGACATCTATTGTCAATCTGGAAAGCGTATCTTTTCGAGAAAGGATATATAATTTTTAATATCAAACTTTATTGGTTTTCTTATTCTGTTTTAGGCTGTCATGCAGTGGGTGAGTTTTTGACAAATGACGAAAAAGAAAATATATCCAATTCTTTTCACTCCTATCCATGACTTTATTTTTAAGGTTCGGCACGATCCTATTAAACGTCGTTCTGAACTAGAAGGCTTACTGCCTTGTGTTCGTCTGTGTTTTTTGCCTCCATCATTTCTTGAACATGCCAAATGTGATGAAATCTACGGTACAGACGATATGCGTAAATGTCAAGAATATTTATCACAAGTTTACAATAAATTAACCTCACACAAATATTGTCGTTTGCCACCAAGACGACAGCCGATCAAACCATTGGTCATATGTAGGTGTCTCGTCTTCTTAACATAACGTCTCAACTAAGATGCAATCCATATTTTAATCAAGTATCTCAGTTGATAATATCTCACGAGGAAAGGACACCAACTGTCTAATCGCTTTTAGGCTAAGACTCACTGGACAATAGGTAATCGGGTGTGCTGAATCCGAATATGACAATGATTTTTGCTGCTAGGCCTTGGTAGACTCAGTTGTCTAGAAAAGCAGTTTTCCAGAAACTCTAGAGAATAACCAAAAGCTTTCTTAATGAGATGCAATTGTACCTCGGAAATTTTTGATTAAAATGAGACATATCCCACCTCTACATGACCTTTCTTTGCAAAGTTATAGAGTTTACAAGAAAAGTCCTAAATTCATTTTTCCTTTTTCTTTCCGTAGCTCTGTGGTGCCAATGAACATTTAGGACTTTTCTTGTAAACTCTATAACTTTGCAAAGAAAGGTCATGTAGAGGTGGGATATGCCTCATTTTAATCAAAAATTTCCGAGGTACAATTGCACCTCATT